TAATTTCTTTTTGCATTTGAAAATATGGAATGTTACTATGCAGTAAAGATATTTTGGTATGAAAATTGTATCACGTAGCAAATAGTGAACGCTTAATAAATCCACTTACTCACCTTGCAGCCCCTACAGAAACATGAGAAGACAACTTGCTTTTCAGCATTTACATGCTGAATTTTTTTGTATACTTCAGAAACAGATTAAATTGTTGGTAGATGTTTTATCAACAATTCGAAATGCAGTTTTTGTTCAGGTGCTTGCTACAAAGCTCTGTTTCTAATTGGTTGCTTGCATCACAGTCCCAAGACCGTAAGCTGGTATGTAATGCAGTTCGGTTATGTATGGAGTTATGTGCAAAGGGAAGTTTAACTTTTAAATATGCACAAACTAATTTTAAAATCCTTCCATGTAAAATGAAGTTAGAGGCTAGTTGTGGTGGACCTATTTATTGTATGTTTGGAAATAAAAGCCACAGTTTTGCAGTTTAACCATTTATATTTTGAATCCTTCAGTATTTGACTGGTTTAAAAACAAAACAAAAAAATGCGGTACCTTGCCACCCTTCATCTGGTCTTTCGCTCACAAAGATGTAGCATTTTCCCTAGGTGATTGCTTTTACACTTTTTTTTTTCCCTCCCCCTTTCCTTCCTTCCTCCCCAGAAATACTAAATACCGTACACGGCTTCACGTCCCCTTTGCGCGTCCTGTCCCCGCAGAAGGAGGGATGGCCCACAGAGCATTTTTTCCAGCCGGTGGGGTGGGAGATTCCTGTTGCGAACAGGTGCCGTATGTTCGTTAGCACTTAGCGGTCCTCTGGTTTTCGTCCCGACTGCCCTGTGTCATCTTCCCAGCCCATGCAGTTCTTAGTATTGCTTCAGGGGTTGCCATGCTTGAAAGCAAGTGTCAGATACAAGTGTCCTTGACGCACGTACTGTTGACACCTCAGACTTGTATACAAAAATACTGCCACTCGGTGCTAGTGGAAGGTTGTTTGCTAGTCTGTGCTAATACAAATTACACCAGCGACTTCAGGTTTAAAGGTGTCCATCCTCTTCCTGTTGTGGACCTCTAAAAAGAATTCCTGACTCTTTGCAATGAACTTCATTTTACGGATGAGACCGCGTTGGCTGCTACTTACAGAGCAGGAATTCTTCCTGCCTTTTGTCCTGGAGCCTGCTGACCACAGCGTGAAAAGCACAGGTCTAGAAGTAACAACTTCACAGCAGTCTGGTTTTGGCTGTGAGGTGGTTGCCATCATGACGTTAGCCCTGTGAGTGTCTGCGTTACTGAGCGGGATGCTACCGATACTGCAGTACAGACCTGCTCTTGTACTGATGGGTCTTGAAGTTCGTCAACAGAAAATGTTGCCTTATGAAGGTATGCTGCAATTTAGTCTTTTAAGAAAGTATTTTTTGAAGTATTGCTTTCAGGTCATGTTGACTCATTAAAGGTGGTGTAAGGTTTCGTATACCTTCATCAACTTTAGCCACGCCAAAAGATCTGAACTTAAAAGTAAGGTGAGCAGCACCGCTCAGTGCAATGCTGGTTTAAAACGGGGCTAGGTGCGGAGGTGCAGGTACTGCCCGGAGTGCTCTGTCGAGCTCCGTATCCTGTATACGGGAAGTGGGACTTCAAAAGACTTAACTTTCCCACTCAAGCGAGAGTAAAATACATGAAAGAAAACAACCTGTGCGTTAGTTCTGTGAGGAAGATGAGTTACAATTAGTTGTGGAACTAATTTTGAGCTATTAAAAACCAGTATTAGAAGTGAAGAGTTAAGCTATTAAGGAGCAGAAGTGTGTCTATAAAAGTCTGTATTATTAAAGCAGATGTTCAGGGAAGCGGGAAGATTTTTGGCATTTAAGTATTTGCCCAGCATTCACAGGCATCTTGCCTTGATTGAAAACGAAAAAAAGGTTGCAACTTCATTCCATACATTTTTCCCTCATTAGGACCCATTTATCCCGGCCGAGCGCTAAGCTAGGCCGGCTGTGCCGTGGGATGACAATTCCTGAGGTTCTCATCCATGTTTCAGTAGAAGGCACGGAGAACTTCTGCTAGACGGGACTGAAGCGAGCCTGTTGCATCTGCTGGCTGGGTGCGTTTGTTTCTTTGAATCCTCCAGAGTAGATCTGGCAAGTTAACCTCAGATCCACAGGGAAGTTCGGGGTTTAACAATTAGTTTCAATGCAGCTCATTTTTAGCTAAATTCCCTCTGCCATCTTAACTGGAGTAGGAGTACTCCAGGAAGTCCTCCCATTAAAAAAATGGCGGGACTATTAAAACTGATCTTCACTGCTAAAAAGATCAGAGTGCTTTTAAATCCTGTAATGACCCCGCACTCTGAAAAGAACTTCTAAGCTTTTACAAGATTTTTTTTTTTTTGTTTTTTACTCCAAGTCTTCTGCGTATGTCCAACCAATGGTGGGCTTATGGTACTTAGGAATCATCCCAGGGTCTGGAATGCCCCCCTGCCGTTTTTTTTTTTTGTTGTTGTTAATAAAATTCTACCTATTATTTGGACTTTTAAAAATAAGTCTACAAATACTAGCCATGTGCTGTTTCTAAAACTAAATTTCCCAAAACTTTGCCTTCCTACTCTGCTCAATGTTAAGGATTGTTGAAATAAGTTCCCTAAAATTTTACTTACGCATTGAAATATTTTCAGGCTTCCACGTTTTAGGTGTTCTTTTTTTGCAAAGCTGTTTACAGTGTTCCTTCTACAAAGGAAACATTTCCGTAATTACAAATTCTCGATTTGAACTTTTTAAAACTTTGTTCTATATTTTCCCTCTAATCTCAGTGGAAGAAAAAGGCATTTCTGTCTAGCTCTGCTGTCTAAAACTCTTACCTTGCTTTAGTTTTCACCTTCTCAAAATCCTAAGCAAATGTCAAAAGCCTATGGAGTTTGCTTTCCGCAAACAGAGTACAGTAACATGTTTAGTTCATCAAAACTCAGTATTTCACAGCTGAGAGCTCACAACTAAGATGAGAAATGATGAAATTCGTAGCTTAAAACGTGCTAAAACACAAAGTTTTATTTCCTCTGTGCACCATTTTCACGGAACAAACACCTGCCGCTTCCCCGTGCAGCCGGAGAGTGGGTGCGCGGCGGTTGTTGGCACACGCGGCTGGGTGCCGGGGAAGGCAGGAACAAGGAAATGACTAAAGGAAGTGAATAGCCGGTATTTGTGCAAAACACACCAGAGGGGTTTCCGGCACCCCTCGTTTCTCAGGATAACAACAGAGGGCAAGGCTACTTTATACTATGCAGTACGCCTGAAAATGGTCAGCCAAAATTTGGTTTGTCTCCTTGAGCATGCTCCCTTCTCAGTTAAAGAGAGTGCAATTTTCTCTTGCCAAATACCCCCGAATACGCAGATTGTGTCCAAATTCTGGTAAGGGCTGGAGGGCTGCCAGGACTCCGCAACCTTGAAGCTGAATTTAATTACTTGGTAATTTCAAAACTGCTCATCTTTTTCTTTGAAGAGATGAACTTGTTCATCTCAGGCTGAAGACAGGAGCCAAAGGTCTCTCCACTCTCTTGTGCAGCCAGTGCTCACAGGCAGTAAGGGCACAGGTGGCCTAAAGCATCTGTCCGAGAGAGAAAAACCTGAAATGTGGAGCCCATCACCTTTGGAACCCCAGTAGTTTTTTCCCCACTGAACCATAAAGGGCTGAAACCATTTTTCCACCAATCTGTACCTTGGACAAGGCTGTAAAACTTGCTACTGTGAGGGAAAGGTTATGTATTCACCCTTCTCCCGGGGTAGCAGTGCAAAACATCCTTCGGTACGTTCATCTCACGTTAGCCAAAGCAGAGGCAAACTTGAAAGCCCAGGAAAAGAGAGGGCCTCTGGGGTCTGGTGCGTCAGCCGGTGTCATACATGCTACACGTTGCCTTCTCGAGCCCCTCTGCAGCGCCCTGCTTGTCTGAAAGCATAAAAATGTGACTTTATTCTTATAATTGATTTCAATAATGTTTATTACCAACCTCAACTATCCATTCATCATTTAGTGGCAATTTGCGATTTTGTGAGTTTATGACTACAACCTATTTAATACACGTTTAAGTGCTCCGAAAGCAAGGGAAATTGAAAACTAATTCAAATCCAGTGTTAAGTGAAGAAGTTAACCCTGCTCTTGTATCCACACGGAGTTTTCAGTCTGGCACTGCAGAACTCCCTCTACGGCCAGGGAAGCTGCTGCGCCCCTTCCAAAGAGCGCTTTTCCAAATGGCCTGTTACCACTTACCGACTAACCAATACACAGGTTATCCTACGCTAACAGCACTGAGGTATCATAAACATTAGTGAAGTTATAAGTTATTATTATAGCAATTGTAATTTCACTGCTGAACAGTTTACTAGATTAAGGGTTGGAGTCTGCCAGTATGCTTAATTCTAACAGAATAGGCACATAATTAAATAATTAACAGACTTAGTTTGGGAATATCCAAGTTTGTTCCCTGCTTTTAACACATAAAATGACAGTTGCGGTGCTTAGCAACTCTTTAAAATAAAAAGCCATATAAAATTCTCATATTCAGAATGGCCAAAGCAGTAAATAGATTAGTAACTTGCTTAAAAGTTATTACCAACGAGTAAGTAAAGGTGTTGCAGTTGGCAAGGAAGAACCATGGACTGTATGAATGATGGTGAAGTGCATCCCCTCTGGCACTCAGGCATGCACAAAGATGGGCAACATAGTTGATGATAGTTACTGTAAAATTTTAGAAGGGCAGCAATTCGCAGCATTGAGCAGTGCAAGTCCTGAACGACACCGCAGTTAAACTTTTAACAAGCACGGTTGTGCATGGTGTAAGTGTTTGGTAGCTGAATGAATCTAAGAAGTCCTGTTACAATCAGCTTCAGAAAGGTGATTTATTTCAGTTAGAAACCAATGCCACGTTTCACTGACTCTACCCATATTACCACAGTAGGCTTTACCAGACAGAAGTTAAAAACAATTTTATTTTCCTAAACCCCGGTGAAAGCCACCAGATGTCGAAGGCTCATCCCATTAGGTTCATCAGTGGCAAAGTAACAGCTCTCAGCTGATCCAAACTGGACCAAATACGAGGAGAGATGGTGACAAGGCACACTTTACAACACACCTGAGGTGTGTTTAGATTTTGGCAGGGAAACAAGGTTTTTGATCAAAGAGGCACTAAGGCCTGAAAGGTCAGTCATATAGTCCACCAGAGTATCTTTAAAGTCTGATTGCAGCTGGATTTACTGTAAGAAACGTGACTCTGCAGCAAGACTGAGCAGGACAAAATTACACCTTTGACTTCACAACTAAATAGGATAAATATCTTCTAATAATGTGGCTTTAGGTACTTCATATACAGTAATATGTCACTTTCCTAAAGAACATATGTAGTCTATAGTACCAAGCCAGTAACAAAATGAAGGTAAACTGCATTCAGTTCAAAAAGAAAAAAAAAAAAGATTTAAAAGTGCATTTGGTTCAACAAACATCACTACTGAAAAATTTCATTTTTAGGTTGTGTGCAGCAAAAATGTGCTTCTTCCTTGGGATTGTTACATATTGCATGTTTCCATCTGACGATGTGGTTTTCAAAAAGAGATTGCAGGTAAAGAGATGACCATGTCTGGAATCTGGTGATACAGAAAGCTGAGTGAAAAAGGAAAACTAAGTTAATTTTTTTCCATCCTACAGTAAGTTAATCACTTAGCATATTTCAATCTAATTTTTACACATATTTCCTAAAAATAAAATTAGCATAAGAAAAAAAATGACATAACTAAGAAGATAAAAGGAAAACATCTCACTATATGATTTATCTTACTTATAAATTAGAAATGGCAACATACATTTCCTAACGAGCTTTACTTTGAGGCACCAAGCTGCAGGGCTTGTTCGTTCCTTTCAGAGGCTACTCCAGAAAAATGCTGTCCATTTACCTTAACTTTGTATCGTGATTCTTTTTACTTTTACTCCTTCTTCATCTACCTTGAACCACCTCTCCTTTGCCTAAACCCTGCGTCTGTATTTTACACATTTCCAAGTACGTGTCAGCTACTGTGACCCCACCCTCACGTACTCACTGAAGGAAGCAGAACTGAATTATGAAGGAATAAGCTGGACGGTCTCTTTTGGTTTTCTTTCTGAGTTCTCCAGCCTAACACCTCTTATGTACAAGGTTCCTGGAATGGTTATACATCTTCATTGTCCAATGCAGTAAACAGAATAAAACACAGCAATGAAAGGGTGCCTCAAACTGTGCATCTCCACAGCAACAACAGTTGCTCAAGTTTATTCTCCGCTGAGGAAGGGACCTTGTGTTAAGAATATTCACCCAAAATACTTTGTTAAAAACAGAACGTGACTGATTTTTTTTTTTTTAAAGCAATGGGGAATGACAGAATTTTCCTTCCAACTTGCATTGCTTTAGCAAGAAAGAAACAGAGCTTATTAAGGCCCGTTTGACCAAAGACATACAGGCACTAGCAACAAAGTATTTCCATTTCATTTCTCTGTATTTTTTGTAACACAGCTTAAAAACAGTAATGTTCTCAAATCCTTGTAATTACAACATCAATTCTGCCTTCCTCCTTAAGTAGCTCCTGTTTCCTCCTTGACTGACCAAACCAAATCTGAATCATTCTGAATATCTGAAATGCAGGTTTGAATGCAATTTCTTCTCTACCAGCTTTGCTTCTAACGTCTCCCTTACCATATATTTTAGAAGTGAGTTACAATTATCATTCTCAGTGATCAACGTGGTGATCCTTCTACAGACACGCTGATCTTCCTCTGTCATCAGAGCATCCTGACTAGATTCTATATATCGCTGCTCTCTCTCAACCAATAAGTAATTTGGCCTAAAGTCCAGCTTATGCAATGAATAACCTGACATTTCAGTATCCCCCATATTACGTTGCTTTGCCTTTGGTACGTTATACTGTACCTTTTCTAAAGCTGTCAGACAGGTTTCAAAGAGCAGAAAACAACTCCACCTCCAAACAATCATATCGGGACCAAACAATTGCATTAGGACATAGGCTAGAACAGCCGGCTACAGCACAGAGGAACACGTGAAAGACACTCGGGGGCTCTCTGAAGTACTTACTTCCAGAGCAATTCTTACCCTGGTCTGGATCAGTGCTTTGCAGTCATTAATACTGAATCCATCAAATCTGAAGTCCTCATTACCTTTAACATTTGATTCCTCAAAGATGTCATCCCGGCTCTCCAAAAAGTCCTAGTAAAACATAATTTACATTTTCCCTATGAATTTCTATCTAATCTTAAAGCATAGAACCTAAAGAGAAGTTTCCCTCAAATAACAATAACCACTAAATTTTATTTCCTGAAGCTGTATTTTGATTTATCATGTGCCCCCCTTGCATTAAAACAACTTTATGCCGAAACAAGTTCTACGCAGATGAATCTAATTGTGACTTAAAATTTTTAAAAAAAGCCATTTCCAATTAAAATTAGCCCTAATCTACACCATAAAATAGCTGAGAAATACATCATCATCAGTATTGATAAGCAATACAATTTTCCAGTAACAGAAAAGAAGTAATGACATAAGTTTAAGCTTTCTGTGCATTGATTTAATGATGGTGTATTTATGGGCAAGAAAGGAATAGAAGGGGAGTTGAACTATGTTGGGGAAACGTCACCCATTCTCTCCTGTTAAGTGACAGTTCTATAAAAGTGACTTTCAAGTGCAGAATAGGTCGTATACCTTCAGCACGGTCATTCTGTTTGTATGTAACTTGCATGAAAGGTCCAATATGTCCATAACATGAAAACTGAATGTAGCACCTCACCCCTCATGCTTCAGCAATCAAATTATCAGTTGAAACAGTTACTTCTGAAAACAAGCGACTAATTCACCCCAACTAAATAACTATGTTGAATGCTAAGCCATCTCTGATAGCCCTATCTTCTCAAAACAAGCGATTGAACAGAGACATTTCTTTTTGAGATCTTTCAATATTGTTGGTTTGTTCTCGATTCAATTAAAACATACTCCTCTCCCTCAAGCCTTGCAAAAACAGATAGAATAATCTGAGGAAAAGGGAAGTGGAACACACTTTCAGTTCGTATACAGTAAAAACATCCAGTAATTACTTTAACAGCCTCTCTGATTCAAATCCGATTTTCACTTAATGGAAAGATATTAGAGGCTAACAATTTTCTCATACTCTGAGCAAAAAAGAAAACCATCTTACCACACACACATCTGAAAGCTAATTTTCCATCTATGCTAAAGCTGAACGTACCCCTGTCCTGGTTTCGGCAGGGATAGAGTTAATTTCCTTCCTAGTAGCTGGTACAGTGCTGTGTGTTGGATTTAGGATGGGAACAAAGTTGATAAGGCACCGATGTTTTAGTTGTTGCTAGGTAGTGCTTACACTGGCCAAGGACTTTTCAGCTGCCCATGCTCTACCGACTGAGAAGGCTGGAGGTGCACAAGAAGCTGGGAGGGGGCGCAGCCAAACTGGCCAAAGGGACATTCCATACCATGTGACGTCATGCTCAGTACATAAACTGGGGAAAGCTGGCTGGGGGGGCCGCTGCTCGGGGCCTGGCTGGGCATCGGTCAGCGGGTGGTGAGCAATTGCACTGTGCATCACTTGCTTTGTGCATTATTATTATCATATTATTATTATCATTTTATTTCAATTATTAAACTGTTTTTATCTCAACCCACGCGTTTTTCTCACTTGTGCTTTTCCAATTCTCTCCCCCATCCCACCAGGGGGAGGGGGGGAGTGAGCGAGCGGCTGCATGGTGCTTAGTTGCCGACTGAGGTTAAACCACGACAACCCCCTAGTGCAACAGGGCGCTACATAATGGAGACTTCAATGTAAAGACGATCAAAATTTGATCCTGCGCAATTTCATAGTTACTTACACACATAATGATGAGAAAACACTAGACTATCATTTTAAAAGGCTCTCTGTATAAAAACCTTATGACTCACCCAGATCTAGTTCCTCAAGCATGTATAGCTTACAGAAAATCAGATTCATAACCAAGTGTTTATACTGGCATACTAGCAAACCGTTTTTCAATTACCTTTTGATTTGCATCTATTCCAAGAACACTCAAGAGGTTTTCTTGGCAATGAGATTTACTCCAGGGATGTCTTAAGCTGGGGGTATTATCAAAGTCTCTAAGCGTTCTCCATATGTTTCCAGAATCAATGCTAGGAAAGAAAACACAATCTGAGGTTGTTATAAGGTGTACAAAGTTCCCAGTAGATGTATATAACTTAGTTATTTTCACTACATATAGTCGTGTACTAGCTTACCTTGATCTAAAAAGCAACTTGTCTTAAAACTATTTCTACATTTGTTCAAACTATCAACCCAATGTACTAATAAGCTTGCATGACAATTAACGGAAACAGTTAAGTCAACATAACTGTATGTTTGGGCTTCTTAGATAAGAAGCGCATTAGAAGCATATTTCAGAGATTGTTATATGCCAACAGCTCGGATTATTCCATCGCTTCTGTGAAATGTGGGTAGAGTTCAGCCCTATTAATTCTGCACTTCGCATTTTCTGTCTCTCAAACCTTTCTCCTTCCTATCAGTCATGCTCCTCCACTGCAGCAGCCTGCTGCTCACGTGGGTGACCTGCATCTGCTCTGGACACAGAGGTACTACAAAACAAGCCAAAGGCACACACTCCTGAAACAGAGAGAATTAAAGAGTTCCCTCTACATAGTACTTCGGGTTCTTACTTTGCATTCATCCTATATAAATCCAGTTGCTTTCTGCTTAGTACAGGATGAATCTTAGTTATTCACCACAGTAGATCAGGGCTTTGTTGTCTGTAGTCAGTACTCTGCTATAATACTACAGTCCCTTTTACATATATATCATGTTTCTCCACAACTTTGCGGCTGATTAAAATATAACACGTATACAAGGAACTTGCCAAAAGGATGCCCACATTAAATGTTTTAACTATATTTCTTGTGAGTCTTCTGACATTTCCAAAGTATGGTCTGACCCAGCTTTCTAGATAACAAAGCCTCAGATGTACGCAAAAATAACTACAATATTGTTCAGTAACTACAATACTGCTCAGAAGCTGCTGATCCTTCAAAAACATGTAACAAATCTAAAAGCGTTCCAGCTGTCTTATGAGAAAGCTAAGTTAACGATACTAATTGCTATTAACATAACCCCAGGAAAGAAGCCAGATGCGCCACAGATTCTGAAGCACATCTGGTTAAACACGAGGAAGTCACCACCTGGGAAAATTGGGGAGGGAGAAAAAAAAAAAAAAGGCAAGGGGGTTGTCAGCAGAAGCAGCAGCAATGCTCCTGCCTCAGATGATGGAGAAATAAGTCAGGTGTGTCGTAAAGAAAGGACAACCGAACAGGAAGAACAGGCTGCCTGTTGGGTGTTCTGGCATTCCAGAGGCTTAGTCATAAGGCGGCACACCAACAGCAGGAAAAACCCTAAGCAGGAATTTGTAATTTTGATATATTCCCTTCCTTGTTTTCCAATGGCTAAAACACAATCCATTTCCTTTAACAACACAATACAAAATTGGCAAGATCTATATGCTGAAGAGCATAGTGATTAAAAGGATTTTCAAGTTCACCTGCGAGTACCACTGATTTTTAAATTATGAAATAAATGGTGTAATTGGTGAGGGACTTTTTAATTTTTTTTTTTTTTTTTTTTTTTAAACCATTGATCTAAACTCATTACCAAAGTTGATTCTTCGTAAGTTCAGGAATCCCAACATCTTCATTATTTGTATCAAGTACTTGATCTAAGCTTCTTATGCTCTCTCTGGACTGTGATACAAAGACTTCTGGAAAGCCCAACTTAAATATATCCTCATAGCTGTGGTTTGCCTAGAAAAAACAGAGTTTTATTACATATGCTATACAGGCCATCCCCACAGTTCATGAAGGACCTAGTCCAAAGACTACAATCTTTTCAGAGATTGTATTATTGACTGTTTTAAAAATTTGTATTAATATTAATGGCACAGAGGGACTGACCCCATAGTTCAGTGTTTTGAGTATTTACCTAGAATTAGAGGAGGAGAAGCAAGAGTCCAAGAGATTCTGATGAACCTTAGTCTCTAGCTTCCCAGCTACTAAGTTACAGACTGCAAATAGGTTTGCCTATTAGCACTCAAGGCTCCTTCTTCTGCTCAGCTAATTCAGACCAGGTCAAAACTGATGTATATACATCAACTCCAAAGCTTGTTTTGCTAATGTAGTATTCGAACACACCTAATTCAGCCAAATGTAACGTAACTACTAAATGCTGTAGTTACCAATAAATACTTGCACTGTGTAAGTCTGCATAAATGCTGGGGTCAGTATGTCTCTATATCCTTGTACTTGCACCAAACTTTTTCCAGCTTATGTTAAAAATCAGAGCCAGATTTACATACTTGTTCCTCCTCCAGCAGCGACGAGGGGGATGTTTGGAGGACTGAACATAGCCACGAGTGATCCAAACTCATGCAAACAGGCCTACTGGAAGTAACAGGCTTATCTGAAGACTAAGAAATACATATACAAGGAAAAATGTGCATAATTTACATCCTATCCTAAAGGGATGTTATCACGCCATCTGGTCCAGAAGCTTTGCCCTTTTATTCTTTCAAAGAAGGAATTACTGCAATTCTCTAAATCAAAGCAATTAATTGACTTCAACACCCTGCAGAGGGACTGCAATCCAGGAGCAGCAACGTTGTGTGGAAACTAGAGAATGAAACCAGTCAGTTTGTTTTCTTTGCCTAGCAATCAACAATTTGATCTGAAAAACATAAGTATGGATACTCCATATTTTGACAGTTTCATTGAATCGTAACTCAAACAGCTGAAATAAATTGAGGTATTTCCACAGTTTCATTATATAGAACTCAGACGAATGCAGTGAATATTGAGAGAGTATGGATTTAATCTAATCGGTGAGTGGGCAAAAATCAACAGAGCTGGTAGGCGGCTTCTGTACTTCTGAGCATCCTTCCAGAAATAGAATTTGTGCCCCACGCTGCTCCCTCCTGAAGTAAGACCTTGCTAAACTGCCTGTCCTGAAGGGCGACTGCCGGGACATTCAAAGTCTCCCCGGTAAAATCCTTTGAATCTTGCCCAAAGTGTCATAATACTTTAAATCGATCTGTAAATTATTTCAGTAGACTTAACTTACAACAGGGATACTATATGGAGGAGAAAGATGTTTGAGGAGCACAATTCCATGAAAGCACACGTGCTAAAGCATACATGGAGAGTCACTGCCCAGGAAAAAAACCCTCCAAGTAGGTATCGAGCCCTGAATGGGACAGGAGCTAAGGAAAAGTCAGGCAGCTGCTCTTGTCTTTGGGGTGGGGGGAAATTACAGCCACAGAACTGTGAATTAAGGGAAGGCCAGGCCTGCCTTGTTGGTAACGTCTTCTTGGAGCCTGTCATGTTACTCCCACATGCATACAAGTCACTGGCTTACAGTTTAGCCAAGCCGGATGAAAAGCCCAACATACAGGAAAAACGCAAGGTTTTTTTGTGTTATCTTTAATACTGTCTACTTCAGTGGGTGTTTCTAAAATAAAATTTTAGTATATTTTCATTTACGTTGTAGCTTCGTACTGATTATAAAAATATGAAGGCACAAATTTCACATCCGTGCTTTTTGAACAAATCCTCTGTATCCCATTATATCAGAATACCCTAGTGCCTAAGCAAGTGCACTAGTCCCTCTCACCAGTGGCCAGTATTTAAAGAACACGTGAAAAATCCTTGAAGTTATTCAATCATGTAGGCAAAGTATCCAGCTACTGCAAGGAAATTAGTGATTGTTTTCACCTTAAAATACATGATTCTGCTCCAGGCTGACATTGTTTAATTAACTGAAGCATTAGATATTGAAGGTCAGACCTCTGACCTCAGACGAGAGGTCCCTTCCAACCTACCTGGACTTTTTTCTATTGACTGTACAGAAGACAGAGCTCCAACCTGAAGAGTTTATGATCTCAAACAAACAATACAAAATGCACAGGGATGAAGGCCAAGCTACATGTATGTTCTACACCCAAAGAAATCTCAAACAGCTCTGCAGCTGCTTCTCTACCCTGAGACAAGAAAAGACAACTTGAAACTCTAGGCATGGTTAACTTACTTAGCTCGTACCGGACATTTTCTTTTGCCTTTAATAAATGCAAAAATAAAGCAAAGGCTTCAGTAAGAGTAAGATCTACTGCTTTTGGAAAGAAACCAAACAATCTGCTGTATTCTATTTCAGCTCCAGTCATTACTTACTCTCTTTTTTCAGCATAAGACTTCTTGTCCCCAATTTCCAGCATTACGAAGAATTTAAATTCTCTATTTATGCATACCAATAACCAGGTATCTTGTGATCTCCACTCTATCAGTGCTGGACAGCTTACCCCACATGTATCTTTACGCTTTCCCTAGTAATACCTATTCAACAGGTAAAGTTCCCAGGCAAGGACAAGAAAGCCTGTCTCCAGAAAACCCTCAGTTCCCGACGCATACTAAAACTCAACCAACAGACTACAAACAGTAAGCTATTACTGCTACTGATTAACTCCATGGAAGTCTTAGTCGATTGCTCTCTTTTTTGAAATGTTTTAATTTAGGATAAAAGTAGTAAGACTGAGGGTGTTTTGTAGTTGTACATTCTTATTTTCCTTTTGTTATTGTGCTTCACTTTGCTGATGCATGTTTGGCAAACATGGAAACACATTCATTGCAACAAGGTATAACCCTTAACCGGAACCTTTTTTTTTCTGTGCCGATAAGGGCACATCATATTATTTATTCAGATTATTAGTTCTAACATTGTATGAGAGAATGTAACATCCTATGCTAGAAGATGAGTGACATTAAATTATTTCTATTCAATTTTTTGTGCCATTAACTTCCACCCACAATCAGTCTAAAATTCCAATTCTAAGACTGCTGGATTATTCAGGCAGTATATTAAATAACAAAAGTTACTGTTTTTGCCGATTTCTAACTCAATTTTATGTTGGTTTACTTCAATAAGCCTGCAGGCAGCTCACAGAATTTTTGTCCACCCTGGTTTTGTTACCCACCTTCCCGATTTTTTGTTTCCTATGTTGGTTCTTGTCTAGCTTTTAAATCGCATGTGCTTCAGGGCAAGGTTCATCGTTTCTACGTGCTTACTTATTTCTAGCGTCCAGAAGCGAAGTAGTGCATTACATTCTTTAAAGCTCTCAAGCAGGATAACTTAAGTATTTGTCAAACACTGTAAAGAAGTCGCTTTCGTTCCACTTGAGTTAGCTGCAAAGCAGCTTGACAGTTTCTCTCCCTGTACAGCATTATCCTCTATAGAGAAGAAATTCAGGTACAAATCTTGAGATGTAGGAAGCAGCAACACAAACATTTCTGGCCTTTGGTTTACTATTAGCACATACCTCATTTAGAGAGCTCCAAGCCTCCTGTATCCCACTGTGCAGAGGTGGCTCAGAACAAAAGTGACCAGCAGAAGCTCTACAACGTCCGCTGCTTAAGTCCGTATTGGCTCTAGAAGTTTTCGTTGACTTCACCAAAACTTCAAGATTATGACTGAATCTCTCCGATTTGTCTAAGGACTCCCTGAAGCCTTCAAAATCACCCCAGGAACCTGTGGGTTCTAAGGTACTACAGCTGCTCTCGGAAAATCCCTCACAACTTCTCCCTTTGCTATGTACTCCAGGGAGGCTTTGCTGCATTACTTCAAGATTAATAATTTCTTCATTATTTGTTCTTTCATTCGAGTTACAGTCACTTTCATCGAGAGACGTACCACCTACTTCAACTGCGAGGTCTTTTAGAGACATCCGGTGCGATGTGTCGGTATTAGTAAGATTTTCTACTAGTGACAGGTTCTGCATCTTTGTTTAAGAAAAATTCGTTTGTTGAAATCTGTACTGCAAAACCGCTACTGAAGTTCAGTTGCATTAGAAATCTGAGTATTTCCAAAACAGAATCAAATTCTTCATTTCACCCCAAAGAGTAATAACACTGCTAAATCAAAACAGGATGTCCTTCAGCCTCCCCTCCAGTAATCAGCATGTGCATGTTATTCAGTCTCACTTTCTGTGTAGGATATCAGCCTGCAAAGAAAGAATTATAAATAAATACTTCTATGATAAGGGCTGCGTAGGAATAAAGAAAGATAGCTGATAAGGCAGGAGAAAGAATGCTCAGGTTAAAATAAACACATGCCGGTGTTATACAACTGAAAATCGCTGTAGGCAAAATTATTTAAAATTTTAACTATCTGCCCACACCACAAGCAACCCATTAAGTTAGTGAACAGTATTCAGAAAACACTTAACAGAAGATGTTGGATATTAGTTGAGTATACAGGAGGCAAACTGAAATAATTATAGATAATATCCAACACTTACTACATAATTTCTGTAACTATTTCATCCATCGAACAGCGCTCTTTTTGTTTGCACGGGCTTCCCCCGTCCAAAAGATTACTGAAGAGGTGAACGTGACTTGCAGCGACACGGGAACTGGCCGTTTAATCCTGTGAAAAATACAGTGCTTCCAACTATTCAAGCAATTAAGACAGATTTAGTAAGTTCAGTCTGGCATCTGCAAGTTATACCGGCAATACTGCATTTATCATTTCAGATTAATCGCATCTCCTCAAGCATTTTTCCGAGTGACACGCTGTTTTGGGGGGCGGGTTAGGAGCTGCACTAAACCCGTGCCTGAAAGACTGGCCGCTATTAGGTATTTCCTGCGCTTAGCAGACAGAACGAATCTCGGGGTTTTTTTCCCCAGGTTCACCTCGAAGGCGGCACAGGGCCGGCCGGACCCTGGCCGGCCCGCAGCACAGCGCTGGGCTTTGGAGGGTGGCCCCGCCGCCGCGGGGCTCGGAGGACACGGC